TGTGTGTGTGTGTGTGTGTGTGTGTGTGTGTGTGTGTGTGTTTGTTTTTGTTTTCTGCTGTTCTTGATAATGCTACTTTCTGAGTTGAGAGAGGAGGGCGGGATGCATTTTTGGTAACTGGTGCATTAGGAGTATTCCTTCACATTCGTGAAACAAATCTAATTCGTTATAGAAAAATCCTTTGAGGCTGAACACCGAGGTTTTATGGCAACACAACAAAAATTCCTGAATTTATCAATGTCAAATGAATGAGATGTTAATAGATATTTTTGTTATGTCTAAGGGGAAGACTTGTGTACTTACAGACCTTGAGCACCAAATTGCACAATACTGTGTGGAAAATCCCAGAAGGCGAGAACTCATAAATCCTTTAGATATATGCGAAAGTAAATATGCAGAAATATAATCAGGGATATTGCGGAACGTTAAAAGAACCTTAGAGATTTTCATGTTGTAGCTAAGGAAATTGGAATCAAGAGGGTGTAAGTTTTTCACATGGATGCCATGTTTGTGCCAAACATGGAAACAGAGCAAAATTTTGGTTCTTGGTCTAAGTTGGTCTCACTTGTCTCAGTCTTTCTTGAAATTATGTGTTTTCTGGCCAAGAATCTAGATACTCTTAAAAACTTCTATATTAAATATAATTATTAAAAATATATAAAGCAAAACTGAAAGAAAACAAAAGTGTTTTTCCAGCACTTACAATAGATGTCCACCTGGATCCCTTTTTCTTCTTTCCCAGATCCACAAGTTGCTGTACACAGATAAGAGTGTTCGTTCTCAAATCTGACAGGATCCATGGTCAGGATGGACTTGGTCCCCTCATTCCTCACTTTCCCATTTAGTGGACTGTCTATTTGGGTTCTCCAAGAGAAAGATGGGGACTCACAGCCTGTAGTGCTGCAAGTCAAGGAGACAGAGTCGCCAATCTGAGCAAGAGTTCTGTATTCAGGGGAGGTCTCGATTTTAAAAGCTTGAGCTGCAAAAGCAAAAAGAGAGAGAAGCAGGCTTAGCCTGGTTTGTCTTGTGCTGAATCCTCTCTCTTGTGATGTACTACAATGTCCAAAACACAGCCTGGCTGATCTCTTCCCTAACCTCCTTTAGACTAAGCGCAAGATGGCCCCAAAGCCCTGAAATCGCTGTTGAAAAAGGTGCTAGAATCATCACCATGCAGGACAATGCTCAGTCCTGACTTTAATACACATGAATCAAAGCTATTTTGTTATTTTCTAAGTTTGACCTCATTATCAAGTACAGGAAACTAAATAGATAGACTTACTACAGATATATTCCAAATAACTCATTTGACATTGGAAAAGGACATCAAAAAGCATCTGTTTGCAACTCTATGACAATACAAGGCTTTAAAGCAAAACTCAACAGGACATTAAAGTCAGGCAAAACTAAGTTTTGCCATTGTTTAAAATGCTAGCACCTTTCTTTATTATGGTAATACTGACTGAATGAAGCCAAAACCAGGGCAAAAATGGAACTGTTAACATCTGAAACAGGTCAAGAACTTACAGGCTGCAAACATTATCCACAGCACAGCTGAGGCTCCGAAGATCACGACCATCTTCCCAGGCATTTCAAGCTGCCGCTGTGGTGAAGAAATAGCAACTCACAAACCTTCTTTCTGCCCCAAGTGAAAGTGTCTGGGAAGAGTGTTCAGCTCCCAAAGCCAGCCAGGCTGGTGTGTGTGAAATAAAAAGTCTGCTCTTTATAAAGGGTCTTGCTGCAGAGGCGGAGGGAAATCCCTTCAAGGGGAAACCCAGGGCAGAGCCAGGGAAAAAGTTTAACTGACAGCCAGCGAAGTCCCCGTGTGTTAACCCTTTCAGTTGCTCTCAGGGCTGAAGTAACTCTGTTTGGTGGGAAACGGGACACTTTCAGAACCATAAAACACAGGCTTTTCCTGATATTCAACTCTGAAAGGATATCTTTGCTTGAAAGATATGACAAAGTTCATTGCAAAATGAAGCTGTCCAAATCTGTTTCTCTCTCTCTCTCTCTCTCTCTCTCTCTCTCTCTCTCTCGCTCTCGCTCTCGCTCTCGCTCTCTCACTCTCTCGCTCTCTCACTCCCACTCTCTCTCCGTTACAGAAATTATACTGTACTTTTAGAACTGTATAAATAGCCATTGTTATACAAACAGATTTTTCTCCATTAAGAAAATATATTTGCAACTCTAGAGATTGAGTTTCTCTTTCAACAAAAAGGAAAAGATCCTTTCTTTGGATGAGTCATCATTTAAAAGGGACACAGTACAGCTTCTTAATTTTACACTTTGTATTCATAAGAGTAGTTTTTGTCAAAAATTCACCTCTCTGAAATAATTTTCTGAAGTAGAAAATAAAAAGATATTGATGTAAAAATAAGGAAATTATTTTTCTTTTGTTTGAGAAAAGTTACCAGCTCTTTGGCTCCTTGCTGGATAACTGGAAGTCTTTCGCAGACTTAGATGCAGAAGGACAGGATCTATGTAACAAATCTTTCGTGGTTAGTCTCTTTGGCTGGGTTATTTAACCACAAGTCTAGTTAAAATGTGAAAACTGATTTGTTTTTTATTATATGAAAGGAAACAACCAATTTTTATTATTTTCTATTCCCAGTGAAATGACTTTTTTTAAAGACTTAATTAACTGGCTATGTTAACCTTGGACATCCACAGCCCTTGTCCTTGCAAAATGCTCACCCATCAAAAAGAAACTGGAATAGTTACTTCCTTGTATTATGCACGTGTAGGTCTACCTCCCACATTCAATGATCAGTTCTGTTCATGACTAGGATTAGTTCTTATTCATCGTTTCCCCTTCTTAAATATCTAATGCATGTTTTTGCATATAGTGTCTGTGCAGGATAGCTTCGGTTGTCAGCTTGACACATCTGGGAAGAGGGTATCTCCACTGAGGCATTGCCTCCATCAGATTGGCTCTTGGACATGTCTTTGAGGTATTTCTTAATTGCTAATTTACGTGGGAGGGCCCAGCCCACGGTGGTCAGAACTGCCCCTGGGAAGGTGCTCCGAAGTTGTAAAGGAAAACAGTCTGAGCATAAGCCAAAGGGAGCAAGCCAGTTAGCAGTGTTCCTCTGTGGCCTCTGCTTCAGTTCCTGCCTCCAAGTTCCTGCCTTTCTTTGAGTCACTTCCCTTAGTGATGGACTGTCAATTCGAAGAGTAAGATGATGAAATAAACCCTTTCCTCCCCAAGTTGCTTTTGGTCAGAGTGTTTTATCTCAGAAATAGAAAGGTAACTAGGACAGTGGTTATAAAACTATGACAGTAAACACCAAAAATTTGGAAAAGAAACTTTAAAATTCTTTTCCATAGTATATAGTGCTACATGAGAAAAGATTTTTATTTGTCCAAGAAAATTGCAACATTCCCAAACACGCAGGGACACATAAAATAAACAGCACTGTGTCATGACAAAGGCCATAAATGAGGCCTGGAATTTCCAACTGCACATGCACGGCTAGAGAGGCTTCTGGACTTACTGTTGAGAATGGATATGTCCCTCATTGAGAGGCAAGAGAGGAAAAAGTAGTTGAGGACTCTATTCTAGGGCTATGGTGATACATCTAGGGATCAACAAGCTTAGTCACCAAACAAGGACAATGTTCATGTCATGGGGGAAGACTATCAGCAGGATATTCATTTACTATTCAACTTAGGATAGGTCAGAGGGATACTAGGAATTTTTAACACATTTTTCTGAAGCTCAAAGACAAACAATGGAGTCTCTAGAAAGTTATGATCTGCTACTTGGATTCTGAGCTTGGATATGAGTCCAAGCTTGGAACTTTAAGCAAGTGCCTAATCTCTTCTTTAATTTCTAGTGGTCACAATAAATATTTATCAGTGTTTTACTCTATGTTTGAGTTGAATGTTCTATGATGCTTCTCCCAGGTTGAACTGGCCACACCATTTCCTGTGGTGTCCTTACCATGTGTGTAATGCCAGAGAGTACCACGCTGAAGTTACCTGCTTACACATCCATCCTGATTTGCTAACTTGTATGCAAGTCATTCTTTGTCTTTTTCATCATAACAATTATCCAAGTATTAGGCATTTGTTAAAATCTGTGGAACCACTGTTGTAGCGGAAGAGGAGCAGGAAGACTAACTTGTCTGCACAGAGTAGTACCGAGTATTGCATTTGAACTTGTTCAGTTTAGCATGGAGCACATGATTTATCTAGTCTGTCTATAACATGAGACTATTAATCTTTTTTTAACTCTTTAAAAGATTATTTCTCCTACTCTTGGTTACCTACCAGTTGGCAGTAAGATCCTATTGTTGGAGACACTATGTATGTGAGTCATAGAACAAACATGGAGAAGTCAAGCTGGTGCTGATCTTAAAGCTTCATCTATACTGGATAGCATTCATACTACTGGAAGGTGTTATGCACACTGTAGGAAGAGAAAAAGGTTCATTAACCTTTCCCAGCTGTGAACCCTGAGAGCTATAGTGACTACTGGCCTGGCAAGATAGACCCATTGATGCAGTAGTGGCATAAATGTTATGAGAGTAACCAGCCACTTTACGAATGGATTTTATGCTGGCTTCACAAGATGAAACCCATATCTGGTACTGTTATCAGGGCCAAGAATCTCACAGGCCATACAAAAAGACCTACAGCTATAATTCTGCTAAATAGACATTGTATTAAACTGACTCCTAATGACATTATTATACCCATAGATTAATGCACCTCTCATCTCACATCAGAGAATTTACAGAAGATAATGATTAACACAGAAACCTATAACTGGTGCAGAGAATAAGAAACTGCAGAGTGCTCAGCCCTAAATAGGACACCTATATCATATCCTTTTCTCTGAAGTCTCAGGGATCATTATGGAAGAGAGGGCAGCAAGTTTGTAAGAGCCAGTGATAGATAAATATAAGGAAACTGTGTTGTCCGGACACAATAGCAAAGTTGCACTTATGAACCCACAGCACTTATGACAACATGCACCAGACCTGTCTAAACCCAAGCCAGACAAGGGCATGGATGGGGAAGGTGAGCAGGAAGCCCCAGGCCTTGCTGAGGTAATTGATAGCTAGAGAGAGAGAGAGAGAGAGAGAGAGAGAGAGAGAGAGAGGAGAGAGAGAGTTTTCTTTAAAAATGTGATGCCTAGTAGGTTGACCAGATTCCACGGGAGTAACCCACACCAAAGAGCATTTGGGGAACACAAATTAGATTCTGTAGGTCTTTAAAAAAAGAAAAATAATGCAGACATGAGGTGGGGAGTAGGTTAAAGGTAGAGATTAGGGAGGGGTCTGAATATGATCAAAACACATTGTATGAAATTCTCAAGAATCAGTAAAATATTTTTTAATGTTTATTTTTTATTTGTTAGTGAAGAAGAGTTGGTTTTTAAGGGAGAAATGCTAGATAGGTTGACCAGGCTTCAGTGGATGAACTCACACCGAGGGACATCTGGGGATACAAACTTGACTTGATGGGCCCTAACATATATGACAGAATGCATGAAATCTGGTGGTGGTGGGTGCTCTAGGGGATGCAAATAGGGAAGGGATCTAAATATGAATAGGATGTATTACATGAAATGCACAAAAATTCAATTAAACAGATCTTTAAATTTTAAATTTATTATTATGTGTGCATGGATGATGTGTGCCGTGTGTGTGTACGTGCATTGTGTGGGCACACATACCACAGTGAGTGCACATGTATGTGAGTGTGTGTGTGTGTGTGTGTGTGTGTGTGTGTGTATAGGTCAGAGGACAACAGTGAAGTGGATTCTCTCTTTCTACTTTTACATAAACTCCAGGGATTGAACTCAGGTTGTCAGGCTTATGCAGCAAGCACTTTTACCACTGAGCCATCTCACTAGCCCAAAATAGTTAATTGCAGAGATGACAGAATTAAGATAACGCCTATCTCAGGGGTTGCAATAATGATACAAATGATGGAGTGAATTTCAGCAGGAATGAATTAAATTCTCTCATGTAAGCATAACATATCAAATGCTTGAGTTTGGTAAGGGAAGATTTGTCTTGGTCACAGTCCAGGGAAGGTGCTCTGGTGGCTTTAGTTAGCTAGGAAATAAGCATTAGTTCACACTGCCTGAGAAACCGCACTGTGGTAAGCTCAGGTCACACTCCCAGTGCCACTACCTTCTGATCATTTGAGGCCGTAGTCTCGGAGTACTATCCACTCATCAGACCATCTTGAGAACAGGACCATGTCATTTGTGGTGTCATTCCTTGCAGAGAGACTTGACGAAATAGATGGTTTATGAGAGAAAGTGGTGGGGATGGTGAATGGTTCCAGAATGCACACCTAGTAGGAGCTTTGAAGAAAGTGGACAGTTGTGAGACAGTGTGATAGAGAATGACTGATGACAAGGGGATTTACTTCTTACTTTGTGATACACCAAAAGCTAAAAGGAGGACTCATGAGTCAGCAGTTATTAGATTATGTCTTCTAGCAGGGCAGGCATATGTGTCTTGTTCACCAATAGAGCTTTAACACTTAACATAATGACCTATAGATACTAGGGATTCACCAAGCCACTGCTGAATGAATTTTAAAAAGCTGGATTCAGAACCAATGGCCAGGAGCTCAAGGGCAAAAAGTTCATTGCAAAGGGTTTACGTCATTTTATGACTACCAAATCAAAATCACACTGATCAAGTGAACTCCAGGTAAATACAGCAAAATGCTGTATGAGTTATATATTAATAAGACACAAACATTAAGTTCATGGTAAAGAAGGACTTTCTAGTTATTAAAGCTTTTAGGCATATAATTGACAGGTTTGTAAATCCAACACCCACTGCTCACTGCAAGTGCTCAAAGGTTAGATGATGTCTCTGAATAACGTGATAG